CCCCCGCTGCTTCCCCCCTCCCTACCCGGACTGTGGGGGCACCGCCGGGGGACAGACACCCAGCAGGTAACCCCAGCCTGGCTCGCCCTCCCCTCTCTGATTTTCCTCCACACCCTCCCGGATGACCCCTTTCCCCCTTTTCTGTCTCCCGGATTTTCTCAGTGTTGCCTCTTTCCGAGTCGTCCTTGTTTCATCTCCCCCCACTTGGGCTTGTTGCCTGCTGGCCGCGCCACCAGCCGTCTCGTGCAGCCTGGCTCTTCCCCTCGCCCCACAGCCTGTGCGCCCCAGGTCTGCCTGAGGCACCTTTCGGGGCTCTGTCTAGCTGTGTTCTGGGCTCTTTCCTTCTGACCTGTCCCCTGGGGCTCAGGGAGGTGGGAGTCCTGGTCCTTTCCCCCTTCCCCAGTTCCCTACTCCCCCCACCTCTAGCCCCCTTTCTCCTTCTAGCAGTCTCTAGGGGTGTGGAGTGAACCGGAATTTGGGGGGCCCTCTGGAGGGGCAGGGGGCTGTGTTTCTGGGGAAAAGCTGTGTGTGATGGGGGGGGCGATTAGAGACCCAGCTGCCTCTCTGTTGTCCCTTTAAACGTCCCTCACATTTCTGGGGACTCCTGGTGGGGGAGGTGGCAAGCTGCCTGCCTGGGGGGCAGGGCCCTTGGTTCGTCCACACAGTCAGAGGTGGTAATGATTTAAAGGGACAGCCTTGGTGTGGCCGCTGCCACTTTGAGCAGGCGGGAGGGGGAGCCGGTAGGCCGTGTCTGGGGAGGCTTGGCTGGAGAGCAGGGCGTTTGAGGCTGAGTCTTGTAGGGCCTGCCTGGTCTGGGACTGTGCTGCAGCTGGCAAGGTGCAAAGAGGGGTGACAGCCCCCCTGGGGGTTGCTTAGCCTAGGCTTTCTCCGGAAAGCCACCTTTGGATCCATTGACTCCCAGCCCAAGAATTTTTGAGTCAAAACTATGGAGCTTTGTTGGCCACCAGGTGGGGGCCACCTGCAGGTCAGCAGCCTGGCCTGGACCTTAGGGAGCTGGCCCTTCAGCTTCCCCTTTTGTTGTTTGCCTCTGTGCATAAGAAGGCCCCTGCCCTTCCCCCAGCTCCCCTTTCCCATCCACATGCCCCCCCAACCACACACCCACCCCAGCTGTTGGACAGATGAATTACAGCCTCCTACTTGGGGCCAGGGCTGGTGAGGGATTAAAGCTCTGGAGTTGGTCTTTTAAATGGCTGTTGACCCCTCCCCCACTCTGGTATCCAGACACCCCTCACCTACCCCACCACCTTGGCTGCCCCTTCACTTCTCTTGGTCCTCTCTCTCTAGGCCAGGCCTTCTGCAGCACTTCTTCCCTCCAATACAACCGCCACACAAATACTATCAACTACAGGAATACATCCCCTCTTCCCTAGTTCTACATTCTCCTCCCTGTCTGGGAGAGTTCCAGCCTCAAGAACCCTTTTCCAGCAGAAGGGCCTTGCCTGTTTGGCTTTCCCAGACTGCAGCTGACCACAACCCTGGTGAGGGGCTTTGCTTGGGTTACAAATAACACTTCCTTGGGGGCAGTGTCATCAGCAGCCACAGAAGATTGCGGCATATTGCATCATGGAGGCTGGGGGCCAGAGGCCTTAGTCTCTGGGGCAGGGGGAAGGATGGGGGCTGGGAATAGACTGGACTGGGGGCCAAAGTGTCTGGGTCCACAGGGGCTGAGAACCACCGTGGCTTAGGGGAATGGAAAACATAGGTCCCTGAGGAATGAGACTAAGGTTAGGTTTGACTGAGGACTGACCCCTGGTGTCCCTGGATGGACACCTGATTCTTGGCCCTGAACTTAAGTTAAAAGACTTAACTTTTTGTCTCAGGCTTGGGAGGGAAGGGAGTGGGCCTCTGTCACCTTCTTGGGCCACACAGAGGAAGGAGATGATGGGGAAACAGGATATGGCCTTGAGGGTGGATGGAGGGGGGCTTGTAGCAGAGGCCACTTCCAGGCTTAGGCCTAGAGTCATAGTTGTTGCTGAGGAGGAAGGCTCCTCCCTGTTGGGCTCGTTCATCTAGTCTGGCCACCTGTGCTGCTCACCAAGACCTGCCTGCACCCGCCTAGGGGAAGGGGAGGGGGCAGAGTCCAGAGGGTGGAGTTGATGGTCTGGTGTCTTGATAAGGTTGGTGAGGAACCTGTTGGTTGAAGCCAGCTGAGCTGAAGGAAGAGGGTCTGCATGCCCTGGGGCCAGGACTGAGGTTGGCTTGGGTGTAGTTGGGGCTGGTCTCAGCAGAAGGGTCCTGTGGGAAGAGGCACCCATGGGTTGTTGTCCACTATAGACTTACTCAAATGTCATAGCATGCTCCCCTACCGTCTGGTCCAGGCTACTTCCTGAAGGGGAAGGTTGGAAGACCACTTTGGGGATGTCTTTTTCTGGTCACCATGGAAACCAATTCACCCATCTCATCTGATCACCAGAGCCAAGTTTCTCCTCAATGAGGAAGGAGAGAGCACAAGGAAGTCTTCTAGCCTGGGAGACCCCACCTCTAACTTTTTTTCTTTTAGGTTTCCCCCCCCAGGCACCATGCTGGGCCTGTAGCAATATCTACCCCACTGAGGTCAGCTGCACCCCCACTGCTGGGGTGCAGGTTCCAATGAGAGGGCACACCAAGCTCCATCGGGTAAGTCCAGCCCCTGAGTGCCGTCCATGTTTGAAAATGTTTGACATGATCTGTATCCTGCCCACTCTTCAGAATAGTCCAGTCCAACTGAGCCTCCCCCTGGTGTTTAAGTGGTTCAACCTTCTTGTTCCCCTCTATCTCCTATGAATGGTTCAGTCCTGTACCTTTCTAGCCTCTGTGGTACCACCAAAAAACTTCTACCCAAACCCTCAGTGCTACAACTCAGTTGCTGATGGAATTTAAACTAGTATTTGCAAGCTGAAAGTACAGTATATGTGAGATACCCCTGGAGGAATTTCTTCTTGGGAGAAGGCTTTGCTCCTATAAGTTGTTGAATATTTTGGCTTATGAAAGTTGTTTGGAAATTGATGTGGGGAGATATAATAGATCATTGCCATAACTATTTCCATGGCAATCTTACCATCTCACTTTTCCTCCCAGATCCCTTTGTGTCCCATTCTCTCCCTGCTGCACCATCCCATTCAATCCCCACACCTGATCTTATTCCTTGTCTGCTTCCTTCATTCCTTCTGCCAATTCTCTGCCTGAGGCCCTGCTGCATTCCCCTTTCCTTTGTAAGAGAAAGAGATCTCTAAGGCAAGAAGTTCCTTAAGTTCCTTAAGTATGCATTGGTCTTCCTTATTACTCATTGAATTTCTTGAGTGGGACTGTTGTCTTCTGTGTATCTCTCACTGTTTGGCATGACGGTTTGTACCTCGGGTGCCTCTGTGGATTTGTACTGAATGAATGTGTTAACTGAATGAGTTTCATTACCAAGAAACCTATGGCCTCTGATAATCCGCTGCACAGCCTCCTATCTGTACCTTGTCTAGAGGATATGAAAAATTTGGGATGGTAACAGAGGGTAGAGCTGAGGAAGGCTGGCCCAGGATATGGTCTGTGAGAGTAAAATCCAGGGAGAGGAGGGGGACAGAGGCAATATAGAAGAGTGGTAAGGATGTGGCTCTGGAAAGAAGCCCAGCACTTTTGGTCACTTGCAGAATAAATTTGGACAAGTTACCTAACCTCCCAGGGCCTTAGTTTCCTCATCTGCAAAATGGGGTAATCAAAGCACCAGCTATGTTCAGATTTGGGGAAGTGAAAAAAATGCATGTGAAATGCTTAACACAGTGCCTGGCATGTAACAGGTATTGACTAAGTGCTAGCAGTTGTCCTGATCGGAGCTTGAGGGACCTGTGAGAATAAGCAAGGATGTTTAGGAATGGTAAGGAACTTAATTGAAGACAGCCTCCTCCCCCAATTGACTCAAAGAGAAGGATCACTGATCCAGAAAGAGGCCAGGATTCAAGGGAGTGAGGCAAGGAGTCAGACAGGTCAGCCTGTTCCAATGTATTCCCTGACTCTGTTCAGGAACATGTAGGCAAACACAGAAAGACATGTGCAGAGACACACGTGATCACCCTAGTGATGCAGAGGCAGACCCAGACAAAAGACCGAGACAGGAGCCAGGCAGACACACAGACAGAGACAGCCCCGCGGAGTCATGTAGACAGGGATAATGACAGGAACGCGTCAGACACAGGCACTGAGGGAGACAAGATGAGCAGATATGCAGGTGCACACAAGAGACAGACACCCGGACCCACACACAGCCGACCTTGTCAGACAGACTGGTGAACACAGCGCCCAGTCAGAGGCAGACACAAGGCTCGCAGTGACACTTAGCGGGCCAAGGCCAGCACTGTCACTTCTCCGTGGGGGGGCGGGGAGGGGCCGGCCGCCGGGGAAGGCTGGAGAAGGGAATCCCGGGCGGGCGGCCTGCCCGGGTGACTGAGTCACAGCGGAGCCTCAGCGGGCGGCCCTTCTGCCCCCCACCCCCGCCTCTCCTTCCAGGTAAGAAGCGTGCCTTTAGCACCTGGCTTCCTCCAAGCGAAATGAGGACAGGAGGGGAGCGGGCTGCTGTGGGGGCCCTGAACTGGCCTTGTGCAGCCGACCGTCTGCCTGCTCGGTAAAACCTCATCAGCGGGGTCTGGTCTTTGGCGGTCCTGAGAGTTTGTGAGTGCACGGCTGGCCTCTTAGACGCGTCTCGCGTGGCTGGGGCACTGCGCGGAGGGGGTCCTCGGCCTCAAGCCCAGAGAGAGTTAAGTGGGTATGATTGATGGAGTGGTTTTCTCAAGGGGCTCAAGAGGGAGGGGGTAGGTTAAAGTCCGCGAGTCTAAAGCCCGGATGGAGGGGGCGGGGTTGGGCTTTGCCGGGAGTGCCCGGATGGAGAGGGCGTGTCCTCGGCAGGAGCGAAATTAACCCTTTTAAGAGCTGCTTGCTCGGTATTGTGGATCGGGTTGGGGGAGCCTGGAATGTCTGCACCAGAAGTGTGTCGCTCTCCCAGCCTGTCTCTGGCCGCGTGCATCTATCTCTCTTTTGCCTTCGAGAAGTCTGTGGGTGTCTTGTCTTTGTGCCTGCCCGTGGTTGTCCCTTCCCCAGGGTTAGTGTGGACACCCGGAGTCGGGAGAGGGCTATTTATCCCAGGGCGAGAGTGAAGGTGAGAGTCGACTGAGAGCCGGCCGCCTCCGGCGGACCAGGAAACAGGTGTGCGTGCGGCAGCGGGGCTACCCCGCGCGGGGAGGAGCCGTCGTGGGGGAGAGGTGGGGGGAAATTCCGAGGGACCGGTGGTGAGCAGTGTGTGGGCTGAAGAGTTGTGTCTGCCTGTGACTGTGTGTCTGAGTTCAGGGAGGCGGAGGCTGAGTCAGTGGGAATAGGGGAAGGTTTTCTGGGTGACTCACTCTCCGCCACCCCAAGCTGGAATCAGGTCCCAAGTGAGGGCTGGGGGCGGGGGGGGGTGTCAGGCGCCTCGGTCCGGAGTGGGGACAAAGATCTGAGGTTGCTGGCGAGAGTGTGTTTAGTGTACCGGAAGTTTTGTCTTCAAGTGAGGGCACTGTATTCCCAGATGCTGGCTTGGGGGTTTGTAGATAAAGGTTGAAGACCAGGAAGTGAGAGGGAGGGAACTCGCTAATTTAGGGAAAGCTGAGTCAGTTCCCCGTGGGAAAGGGGAAGTGGCAGAGGGAAAGTGTCATCATCGCCGAAAGGGAAGCTGCATTTCCTGGTAACTGGCTGCGCCCTGGGCACCACTTCCTTTGTAGGGATCTGCTTCTCTGATACCACTCTGCCAGGTCCTCGTTTGCCCACGTGTGGTCCGTGGGTCCCTGCAGGTCTTGGGTGCGGGCAGCCAGCCTGGGCTCTACTAGACCAGTTAAGCGTTGTACTAGTCTGGGGATTGGTAACTTATAGGAAAGCTACTCCCTCTTGAGATACAGAGCTGTGACAGAAACTCATTATGAACCACGAGGCGGCTGGAGAAGCGCAAGAGTCTACCAGGGCTCGAGGCGGAGTAGCACGTTGGGCCCTGTAGGGTCCAAGCATTTCCATGCAGACAGACATTGCCCCTGCGGCAGGCAGGGCTGTTTTCACCAGAAACTCTTGTGCACTTGTGGGTTGGGTGGAAATTTCCCCACAGCGCACACTTTTCAGCGAAGGCGAACTTTCCAGCCGCCCCCAGCCCCTGCCGGGCGCTCTCCTCCGGCTTCCTGCCGGTGCTAGCTCCAGCTGGAGCGCTGGCCCCGCCCCCACCGCTTTGTACTCGACTCTCTCCTCTCGTTGTTCTTTGTACTCTAGACTCTCAATGGACCGATCCTGGGAGCGGAGCTGGCTCCCTACCTGCGGGGACTCGGGGTAGGCGCGGGACGCAGCTCCTGGCCCGAGAGAGGCCAGAAAGACTAGCCAGTGCTCAAGAGAAGGTGCCCAGGATAGGGGAGCGCTGTGTCCGCCTTGGGTCGAGCCAGCTCCGACGGGAAAAGGGGAGGGGGGACTTGAAGGAGGAAATGAAACGCGTTCTGAGTTCTTTAAGGGAGTAGGCGGTGAGAGTGGGACTGAGGTGATGTCACTGCCCGTCGAGCCCCGCCCTCCTCCCTCCAGAAGGACCCCCCCCCCCACAGTTACACACCGCGCTTCCGCTGCGCAAGTAGCCACGTCACGGGCAACCCCCGAAATCCCCCCTCCCTTGGGGGGGGCGGGGGCCACGTGGGCCGTGGGGAACCGCGTGGCCCTGTTGGGGAAAGAGCACAGAGGATACAGCAGCCACGCGAGAGGGGACACTCGGGACCACGGTGCGCAACTTCTCAGAAGTTGGGGGATCAAAGGAGGACTGGTTTGGGGGGCGTCGGTTAGTATTGACTCAGCCAGCAAAGTGGAGGAATTGGGTATGAGGCTGGGGACTTAACTGTGGTTTGGGACAGTGTTAGGCGAGGCGGGTGGAGCGCTCTGGTAGTGCTGCTGATGGGTTCGGGTGCCAGAGTCGCTGTGCCCGACTAGCCCAGAACAGTTTTAAGGAGCACTCGGGGCCAGCCCCGCGGCTGCCGGGGTAGGGGTGACTCGTGCCTTACGGCCAGAATCACTGTTGGCTCTGTCGGTGTGTTAGGATGGCGGGTAGCGCTATCCCCCAGGCCAGCCGGTGAGATTCACTGCCCTTACCCGCATGGGTCTTGCCTAGCCGCCCTATTTACCGCTATTGCCCTGCCGGCCCAGGTGTCACATCCACGATGGGGACCCCAGGTGGGAACTCCGAGGTCATATCGGGGTCACCTGGGGCCGAGCCGGTCTGACCGGCTCCGCTGCCCCCCCTCCCCCGGCTAACCTTGCTCCTATTGGTTCCGACCAGGCTGTTACTGAGGCGGAGACACGGGTCATGATTGGCTTTCTGGGGAGAGAGGAAGTCCTGTGATTGGTCGATTTCTGGAGCTCACCAACGCTGTGAGAGGACTCTCCCACCCGGGGCGGGTAAGCAACAGCTGCGTTTGCGTGTGTTCTGGTGGTTTGCCACTGATTCGCACCGACATTGAGTTCCCTGCGACTCGTCCTAGTTTCCAGCCACTCTACCCTCATGTTCCTCTAGGGACTCCTTAGGCCGAATGGGCCTTCTCTCACCTTCCCTGCACAAATGAAGGATCTGTGCCCTGACTGTGTGCTGGTCAGTTCACCGTACTCATTTTCCTCTTCTCTCTAGTATCGGCTGTGAAGGGTCAGGGGCTGCCATCTGGGGACAGTGGGCACTCTTGTCAGAGCGGCTGGAGCCGGACCATCCTCCCAGAGAGCTGGGGCAGGGGGCCGTGCTCAATCTCCAGGGCTCCTGGGGCCACTGCTGACCTGGTAAGGGGAAAGGCTGGGATGGATTGGCTGAGCTTATACTGACAACTCTGGTTTTGCCCCCAGTAAGAGCATAATCTCTTTCTCCGGATCTAGGCTGGATGCATCGGGCAGTGGACCCTCCAGGGGCCCGCGCTGCACGGGAAGCCTTTGCCCTTGGGGGCCTGAGCTGCTCTGGGGCCTGGAGCTCCTGTCCGCCCCACCCCCTGCCTCGTAGTGCTTGGCTGCCTGGAGGCAGGTGAGACCTTGGGCCATGTTTCGCTCTGTCTCTAGGCACTTCTCGCCCGATCTTCTATATTCTGTTTCTGTGTCATTCTCCATGGGTTTCTGCCATTCTCTGGGCCTCCGTACCATCCTCAGCTGTTCTTATTTTCTCAATCCCTTTCTTGTAGGGGACAAGACTGTTCTTGCTGTATATAACAAACCCTTTCTCTTTTTAGATGCTCAGCCAGTATTGGGCAGCCCCCACTCCCTGCTCCCCCACCCCCTTCACATGGCAGTAGCTCTGCGCACCCCAACAAACCATATTATGCTCCAGGGTGAGTGGAGAATTTAAAGGCTCTGAGGTGTGGGGTAAGTTTGGAGCCTTGACGGAGTTTCTCTAAGCCTGACCTTCCTGAACCTTTTCTATTCTGTAGGACGCCCACCCCAAGACCCCTCCATGGGAAGTTGGAATCCCTGCATGGCTGTGTACAGGCATTGCTCCGGGAGCCAGCCCAGCCAGGGCTGTGGGAACAGCTTGGACAGCTGTATGAGTCAGAGCATGACAGTGAGGAGGCCATACGCTGCTACCATAGCGCCCTTCGGTATGGGGGAAGCTTTGCTGAGCTGGGGCCCCGCATTGGCCGACTGCAGCAGGTAGGATGAGGCAGGACATAAGGGGCTGGGATTGTGCCTTGCCTTCTAGCTCAGGGACCCCACCTTTTATTTTCTTCTGTCTTTTAACTCCCACCTCCAGACCCAGCTCTGGAACTTTCATGCCGGCTCCTGCCAACACCGAGCCAAGGTCCTGCCCCCGCTGGAGCAAGTGTGGAACCTGCTGCACCTTGAGGTGAGGCTGGGGCTAGGTGGGGTAGGGAAGATGGCCAGGCAGAGTCTGCACCTGTGCCATTCTCTTTCTTCTTTTTGTTCTCAGCACAAGCGGAACTATGGGACCAAGCGGGGAGGTCCTCCAGTGAAGCGAGCTGCTGAACCCCCAGTTGTACAGCCTGTACCTCCTGCAGCACTCTCAGGGCCCTCAGGGGAAGAGGGCCTTAGCCCTGGAGGCAAGCGCAGGAGAGGCTGCAGCTCTGAACAGGTATGATTCTGAACAGGTATGATTGTAGGTGGGCCCACAGACAAGTATGCAGGTCTGGGACAAGGACTTAAGATTTTTACACCCTTTTCTCTTTTAGACTGGCCTTCCCCCTGGGCTGCCACTGCCTCCACCACCATTACCACCCCCACCCCCACCCCCTCTCTCTGGCCTGGTTACCAGCCCCCCGTTTCAGCTGAACAAGCCAGGGCTGTGGAGTACCCTGCATGGAGATGCCTGGGGCCCTGAGCGCAAGGGTTCAGGACCCCCAGAGCGCCAGGTAAGCCCGTGTCTATTGACTGTTACATTTTACCTGCAAGTTCCATGCTTTTCATTCCTCACTTGCATCTTTATTTATCTCCCATAGGAGCAGCGGCACTTGCTGTCTCACTCATATCCCTACCCAGCTCCAGCCTACACCACGCATCCTCCCAGCCACCGGCTGGTCCCTACTGCACCCCCAGGCCCCGGCCCCCGCCCCCCAGGAGCAGAGAGCCATGGCTGCCTGCCTGCCACCCGTCCCCCCGGAAGTGACCTTAGAGAGAGCAGAGTTCAGAGGTCGCGGATGGACTCCAGCGTTTCACCAGCAGCAACTATCGCCTGCGTGCCTTACGCCCCTTCCCGGCCCCCTGGCCTCCCTGGCATTACCACCAGCAGCAGCAGCAGTAGCAGCAGCAGCGGCACCAGTCTCCGGGGTGTGGAGCTGAGTCCAGGCCTTGTGAGTCCTGATCTCAGGTGGGCTTGTCTGAGGTGGCCAGAGCAGTATTCTGACTGCCCCTTTTTATACTTGCAGCCTGGCGCTGACCATTACCAAACTCACTCGCTGGAGGTCTCCTCTCACCAGGGCCGCCTGGGGCCCTCGGCACACAGCAGTCGGAAACCGTTTTCGGCGGCTCCCACTGCCACTCCCCACCTACCCCTGCCACCTGGGCCCACCTCACCCCCTCCACCCCCCTGTCCTCGCCTCTTTCGTCCCCCACCACCTCCTTCCTGGGTGAAGGGCCCAGCCTGCCGGTCAGCCCGAGAAGATGGAGAGATCTTGGAGGAGCTCTTCTTTGGGGCTGAAGGACCCTCTCGCCCTCCGCCCCCTGCCCTCCCCCCACGTGAGGGCTTCTTGGGGCCGCCAGCCCCCCGCTTTTCTGTGGGCACTCAGGATTCACACCCCCCTCCCACTCCCCCAGCCACCAGCAGCAGCAGCAGCAGCAACAGCAACCACAACCACAACCACAGCCACAGCAGCAGCCCTAATGGGCCTGTGCCCTTCTCACCACCTCCTTATCTGTCCAGAAGTATAGAGCCCCTTCCCCGGCCACCCAGCCCAACACTGAGCCCCCAGGACCCCCCTCTTGCACCCCTGACCCTTGCCCTGCCTCCAGCTCCTCCCTCCTCTTGCCACCAAAATACCTCAGGAAGCTTCAGGCACTCGGAGAGCCCACGGCCCAGGGTCTCCTTCCCAAAGACCCCCGAGGTGGAGCCGGGGCCACTCCCAGGCCCCCTGAGTAAAGCCCCTCAGCCTGTGCCGCCTGGGGTTGGGGAACTGCCTGCCCGAGGCCCACGACTCTTTGATTTTCCCTCAACCCCTCTGGAGGACCAGTTTGAAGAGCCAGCTGAATTCAAGATCCTACCTGATGGGCTGGCTAACATCATGAAGATGCTGGATGAATCCATTCGAAAGGAGGAAGAACAGCAACAAGAGGCAGGAGTGGTTCCCCCACCTCCACTGAAGGAGCCCTTTGCGTCTCTACAGCCTCCATTCCCCAGTGACACAGCCCCAACTACCACTGCTGCCACCACTACTGCTGATGCCACCACCACCATCACTACCGCCACAACCACCGCTGCCGCCACCATTGCCACTGCCAATGCCACCACCCAGGAAGAGGAGAAGAAGCCACCACCAGCCCTACCACCACCACCACCGCCTCTAGCCAAGTTCCCTCCACCCTCCCAGCCACAGACAGCACCACCCCTACCACCCCCACCAGCCAGCCCGGCCAGCCTGCTCAAATCCTTGGCCTGCGTGCTGGAGGGACAGAAGTACTGTTACCGGGGGAATGGAGCAGCCGTTTCCACCCGGCCTGGACCTTTGCCCACCAGTCAGTATTCCCCTGGCCCCCCATCAGGTGCTACTGCCCCACCGCCCACCTCAGTGGCCCCTAGCACCCAGGGCTCTCCACAGCCCTCTGCTTCCTCGTCATCTCAGTTTTCTACCTCAGGCGGGCCCTGGGCCCGGGAGCACAGGGCGGGTGAAGAGCCAGCCCCGGGTCCTGCGACCTCCACCCAGCCACCCCCACCCTTGCCTCTGCCACCTGCTCGCTCTGAGTCTGAGGTGCTAGAAGAGATCAGTCGGGCTTGTGAAACCCTTGTAGAGCGGGTGGGCCGGAGTGCCATCGACCCAGGAGACACAGTGGACACAGCAGACCCATTGGACAGTGTGGCTGAGCGACTGGTGCCTCCTGCACAGGTCAAGGAGGAGAGTGGTGGTGTGGTGACAGCAGCAGCAGCAGGGCCAGGCAGTGGCAAGAGGCGCCAGAAGGAGCACCTGAAGGAGCACCGAAGGCACAGGCGGGCCTGTAAAGACAGTGTGGGTCGGCGGCCCCGAGAAGGGAGGGCAAAGGCCAAGGCACCCAAAGAGAAAAGCCGTCGGGTGCTAGGGAACCTGGACCTGCAAAGCGAGGAGATCCAAGGTCGTGAGAAGGTCCGGCCTGATCTTGGTGGGGCCTCTAAGGCCAAGCCACCCACAGCTCCTGCCCTTCAACCAGTTCCTGCCCCCTCTGCCCAGCCCACACCCCCATCAGCCCCTGTCCCCGGGAAGAAGACTCGGGAGGAAGCTCCAGGGCCTCCAGGTGTCAGCCGTGCTGACATGCTGAAGCTACGCTCACTTAGTGAGGGGCCCCCCAAGGAGCTGAAGATCAGGCTCATCAAGGTAGAGAGTGGTGACAAGGAAACCTTTATCGCCTCTGAGGTGGAAGAACGTCGACTGCGAATGGCAGACCTCACTATCAGCCACTGTGCTGCTGATGTCGTACGTGCCAGCAAGTGAGTTGGGGGCTGTCAGTTGAGCCTGGAGGTAGTCTGCCCATCACACTGATGTTTTTGTCCTTAACCCAATGTCCTCCCATAGGAATGCCAAGGTGAAAGGGAAATTTCGCGAGTCCTACCTTTCTCCTGCCCAGTCTGTAAAACCGAAGATCAATACTGAGGAGAAGCTTCCACGAGAAAAACTCAACCCCCCTACACCCAGCATCTATGTACGTGTGGGATTCTAAGGTAGTGTTGGGAGTGGTTGGAGCGCTTGGAGCCTGGGGCAGGACCCTCATTCTAGTCTCCCTATTTCTCAGCTGGAGAGCAAACGAGATGCATTCTCACCGGTGCTGCTGCAGTTCTGTACAGACCCTCGAAATCCTATCACCGTGATCCGAGGCCTGGCAGGATCCCTGCGGCTTAGTAAGTAGGGGAGGCAGAAAGTGTAAGGAGGGTTATGAGGAGATGTGGTAGGTATGACCTTTTTGAGAATCCCCACACTTGAATCCTCAGGGAAGTGGCTGTATTGAGCTCACCTACTCAGTCATGTGTAGGCCATGTTTAAGGAGGGCTTTGATCAGCTGGCTTCCAGTGGGCAAATGGTAAAGGTACATATCTTATAGGGCCCGTTTACAGTTACTTCTGGTTTTCTTGGTGATTGAGAATGAGAATACAGATTGTAGACAACCCCTGAAGATCCATGGTTTGGGCCTCTGTTTTCTTTTTATTTTTTGACACAGGGTCTTGTTATGTAGTTCAGACTGGCCTTGAACTTGCTATGTAGACCAGGCTGGTCTCAAACTCGGTGGTGATCCTCCTGTCTCAGCCCCCTGACTGCTGGGATGACAGATGTGCACCACCACACCCAGCTGGGCCTCACTTTCAGCTTTTTAATGTGCAAAATTTCAAACATAGAAGAGTAAACTACAGAAATATGAAGATCGCTCTTCATTTCCTTTATACCCATGTATGCTCCTTTCCCCACATTGAGCTATTTGAAACACGTTCCAGGCTTTCTTTTGGTTGACTAAATCTTTAATTGGCTCAAACAATAAAGAAGCCGGCCAGTCATTGAATACTTGCTTAGTGGCATGTGGCCTACTATGTGACCAGCCCTTCTGGCCTCATGTAGGGCTGGCGTTTTTGCCCATTCTCCTGGGCTCAGTGTTGCCAAACCTGTGTCCACTCTGTCAGAGGCCTGGGCAGTCGGAAAGACAAGGGTGAGTCCCCACCCTGTCTGTGCTCTGATGCCCTGCTTGACCCTCCCTTGCAGACTTGGGCCTCTTCTCCACCAAGACGCTGGTGGAGGCAAGTGGTGAGCACACTGTAGAGGTACGAACCCAGGTGCAGCAGCCCTCAGATGAGAACTGGGATCTGACCGGCACGAGACAGATCTGGCCTTGTGAGAGCTCCCGTTCCCACACCACCATTGCCAAGTATGCGCAGTACCAGGCCTCGTCCTTCCAGGAGTCACTGCAGGTGAGGGGCAAGCGTAAGTGGAGGCTGGCTGCTGGGATCTGAATGTGGTGGGAGAGCTCTGGAAGGGTCATTGACCCAAGCTTGCCTTCCACTCTGGCTGAGCAGGAGGAGAAGGAGAGTGAGGATGAAGAGTCAGAGGAGCCAGACAGCACCACAGGAACCCCTCCTAGGTTTGTTACAATTGTGCCACTTCCCTGCAGAACTCCTTCTCATCCCTGGGCTCTCCACCAACCAATCTTGTGTTCTCTCACCCCAGCAGCAATGCACCTGACCCAAAGAACCATCACATCATCAAATTTGGCACTAACATCGACCTGTCTGATGCCAAGCGGTCAGTGGGGCAGGGGCAGCAAAGCTGGGGCAGGAGTGCTGCTGGGCACAGAGAGGTCCCTTTTCACAGTGGTTGCCCCCTCTGCCCTGCAGGTGGAAGCCCCAGCTTCAGGAGTTGCTGAAGCTGCCTGCTTTCATGCGGGTAACATCCACAGGCAACATGCTCAGCCATGTGGGCCACACCATCCTGGGCATGAACACCGTGCAGCTATACATGAAGGTCCCCGGCAGCCGAACGCCAGGTGCATACCTGGGAGCACAGCTCTGGGAAATGCTGGAGAGGAGGGGTGGGGGTGATGCTGATGCAGCAAAGGCTTGGATATCACAGAAGGCAAAGTCCGTAGGCTCTGATCCTGCTAGCTATGTTGTTCTCTGTTACCACCTGCAGGCCACCAAGAGAACAACAATTTCTGCTCTGTCAATATTAACATTGGCCCAGGAGACTGTGAATGGTTTGCAGTGCATGAGCACTACTGGGAGACCATCAGCGCCTTCTGTGATCGGTGTGCATCGTCCCCTTGCTAGTTACCCATCACAGCCCCATCCCTGGGTCCCCAAGATTCCTATCCGACTCTGTGGCTTCCTACCCTGCAGGCATGGTGTGGACTACTTAACAGGTTCCTGGTGGCCTATCCTGGATGACCTCTATGCTTCCAATATCCCTGTATACCGCTTCGTGCAGCGCCCAGGAGACCTTGTGTGGATTAATGCAGGGACTGTGCACTGGGTGCAGGCCACTGGCTGGTGCAACAACATTGCCTGGAACGTGGGACCCCTCACTGGTGAGTAGGGGGCCAGGTCATGGTATAGTGAGGGGGTGGGGCTCTGCAGAGTGAGCCTTTTGAGGGAGGGTTGGGCTTAGAGGGTCGCCAGCTGTGCTGGAAGGGGCTTGGACTCAGGTGGCTGGGGCCTGTTTGAGAATCCTTGTAGTGATGCCCTCTGGTCCGCAGCCTATCAGTACCAGCTGGCCCTGGAACGATATGAGTGGAACGAGGTGAAGAACGTCAAATCCATTGTGCCCATGATTCATGTGTCCTGGAATGTAGCTCGAACAGTCAAAATCAGCGACCCCGACTTATTCAAGATGATCAAGTGAGGGTCCTGTTGGGGACCGGGGTGGGGGTGGGGTATTTCACCTCCCTCAGACCTGCTTGCTGCCCTTGTTCATCCTGTATGACTCCACCCTATTCTTCACCTCTCTCTCCATGTCTGCCATGTGCCCACAGTGTTACTGTGTTGGGGAAGCTGAAAGAGTTTCTGCTCTCAGAATCTTTATTTTTCAGTGGTCTACATAGACAAAAACCACTTGAAATTTACAGATGCCTGGATAGGGGATATGACCCAGGCTTGAAGAGGGAAGCCCCACTAAGGGGAGGTGTTCTGGCACTGCAATCTCAAGAGCTGAGTCCCAACCCCATCTGGCCCTGTACTGCTCCTACTCTATCCACTATGCAGGGAGCTTCTCCTCTACAGCTCCTGCCTCCTTGCAGGTTCTGCCTCCTGCAGTCCATGAAGCACTGCCAGGTGCAGAGGGAGAGCCTAGTTCGGGGAGGGAAGAAAATAGCTTACCAGGGCCGAGTCAAGGACGAGCCCGCCTACTACTGCAATGAGTGCGATGTAAGTGTGCCCGCCCCGTTGTTCTCCCTATCCTTCCTGAGAGGTGTCCTTAGTAGCCCGTTTTCCTGGTAACCATTCCTTCCTTCTTCCCAGGTGGAGGTGTTCAATATCTTGTTCGTGACAAGTGAGAACGGCAGCCGCAACACATACCTGGTGCACTGTGAGGGCTGCGCGCGGCGCCGCAGCGCAGGCTTGCAGGGCGTGGTGGTGCTGGAGCAGTACCGCACCGAGGAGCTGGCGCAGGCCTACGACGCCTTCACGCTGGTGAGGGCCAGGGCCTCGGGCGAGGGGCTCCGGAGGGGACGCCGGGGGCGGCCTGTTGGCCCAGCCAGTGCAGACAGACGCTGAGCCCGCGCCCACTTTCTCCCCGCAGGCCCCCACCAGTACGTCGCGATGAGGCCGGATGCCCCGCCCCACAGGGCGATGCAGGCCACCAGCACACGCCTGGGCTGGACCTAGGTCCCGCCTCTGGCCGGGAAGGGGGTCGGGCCCAGCCCTTCCACCCTATTGGCAGCTCCCCTCACTTAATTTATTAAGAAAAAAAACTTTTTTTAAACAAGAGGAAAAAAGGAAAAAAAATGGGAGACGGGGGAAGGAGGCTGGCAGCCCCTTGCCCACCAGTCCCTCCCCTCACCGACTTTGGCCTTTCTAGCAACAGACACAAGGACCAGGCTCCGGCGGCGGCGGGGGTCACATACGGGTTCCCTCACGCCTGCCAGCCGCCGCCCGCCCGCCGGCTGGCGCAGATACACGCGGCTCATGTATGTACATAGACTATGGCAGCCGAGGTTTTTAATGAGATTCTTTCTATGGGCTTTATCCCGCTCCAGAACCTCCTTTTTTACTTCCAGTGCTAGCTGTGACCCCTGTACATGTCTGTTTATTCACTTGGTTATGATTTGTATTTTTGTTATTTTTTGTTTTTAATTTTTAATTTATAACAGTCCCACTCACCTCTATTTATTCATTTTTGGGAAAACCCGACCTCCTGCACCCCCAAGCCATCCTGCCCGCCCCTCCGGGACCGCCTGCCGGGCTCTTCCTGCGCTCCAGTATGTCCGGCCCGGCCGGGCGTCTCCGCCTGCCCGCTCGCCCACAGCTCCAGTGGGCTCACATGGTGCTCAAACCCGCTCCCCTCCCCTACATCCTGCACTTTCTTGGACCAGTCTCCCCATTCCCGACCTGTCCCAGACTCTGCCTGAGGGTGAGCGACTCCTGTACTGTAGGGGAAGAAGTGGGAACTGAAATGGTATTTTGTAAAAAATAAAATTAAATAAATAAATAAATAAATAAATTTAAAAGTTTTAAAGAAAGAACTATGAGGAAAAGGAACCCGTCCTTCCCAGCCCCGGCCAATTTAAAAAATAAGGACCTTCTTCCCCATCCCTTTTTCTTTTTAAGTATGAAACAGCCCAGGGCCAGGGCCTCACTGGGGCAGGGACTCCCGGGGTGAATTTCTCTGGGGCTTTATTTCTTTTGGTTTTTTGGGGGGGTTCTCCCCGCTGGGGCTGCGGAGGGGTGGGGGGTTTACAGTCTTACCCCCTTCGCACTGCACTGTCTCTCTGCCCCAGGGGCAGAGAGGTCTTCCCAATCCTACCCTTATTTTTGGTGATTTTTGTGTGAGAATATTAATATTAAAAATAAAAGCAGAAAAACTTTTGATAACGTGCTGGTGGTGATAGCAGGGCAGAGTACGGGGGCGGGGGGGGGGCGCAAGACGGTGATTGATGGGGATGATTGATGGGGACGGATGGGGCAGACCCTAGCGAGAGCGAGCCCCTCCCCAGAGGCGCCTGTGGAATGTCTAGGGCTCTCCTGGTCGCTTCTTGGGATGGGGGTGTCTAATCCTAGAGCCACATTCCAGGATGGGGGGGGAGGGGTGGGCTGGGGGAGGGGCAGGAAAGAAGGCTAAAAGGGCCGCGGCCCCAGAGGGCGGGAGCCAGCCAGGCCATGGCGGATGTCCCTGGTGCACACCGATCAGTTCTCAGCAGCGGACAAGAACCCCGGGATCCCCTGGACTGCTGGGCCTGCGCTGTGCTGGTAACAGCTCAGAATCTCCTGGTGGCAGCCTTCAATCTTCTCCTGCTGACGCTGGTACTGGGGACCATCTTGCTACCCGCTGTCACCATGCTGGGCTTTGGCTTCCTCTGCCACTCCCAGGTGAGCATACACCCCAAAGTGTGAATGTGAGTTGGTTTTCCTTATAGCGATGCTGATGGTGGTGTCAGCAAGCCACCAGTTCTCCCCAGCTGGGGTGTTATCCTGGGCAGAGTGGCCCAGGTAGGCCTGGCCTGACTGCTCTTCTTCTCCCACAGTTCCTGCGCTCCCAGGCACCCCCTTGCACTGCACACCTACGGGACCCGGGCTTCACGGCCCTGCTGGTCACCGGATTCCTGCTCCTTGTGCCACTGCTTGTACTTGCCCTGGCCAGCTACCGCCGTCTCTGCCTCCGCCTCCGCCTGGCCGACTGCCTAGTGCCTTACAGCCGAGCTCTCTATCGGCGGCACCAGGGCACCCTGCAGCCCAGGCAGATCCGGGCTTCACCAGGGTCCCAGGCTCTTCCCACACCAGGAAAAGTCTGGGTTTGAGAAGCCTCAATTCAAGAACAACCTTGATGTTTGCCCTCCCTTCCTGTCCACCCAAGGACTTGAAGCCCAGTATCTTCTGCCTTGCTCCATCCTTGGCTTAACAGGGTCCTAGCATCCCTTTGGGGAACAGCAGCCTCTGTGGACCCAATAGTGGTGAAAACTCCCATGCCCCCAGAAATCCCACTTTCCTCTTACTTTTCTCAACCAATCCTGACTCTGGGCTGGACCCTGCACACATGTACCCCCTCCCTTCCCTTAACGTGAATAGGGCAACTTGTATTTACCACCCTGAAGGACAGAGCTGGACGGTATCATGCAATAAAGAATTTTTGAACTGAATGTGCTCGTGAACAGAGGGGTGGCACAAATACCATCATTCCTTCCCCAATGCCCAGGAGCAGGAAACAAGTTCCCCAGGGTACATCCCCAGAGTACAAAGGCTCAGGCCAGAGGATCCTTCAGCCTCCTGGCTTTCCCTTATCTCGTTAGTCCGTTCTTCCTGGTCAGGCCCCAGAGTTCTGTTCCGGACCTCTGTGTCACCTCCCCATCAATAGCCTGGAGGGGGCTCTGTTACAGCTGCCTACCCAGCTCCCCTTGGGGACCCAAGCCCGTTCTCTGACCTCAGCCTAGAGGAACTCAGTGTTGCCAGGCCGGAGTGGGAAACAATGGGCCTTCCGGAGCAGGATGACACCCCCTCCGGCCACAATTCTGGATCAGCAGCTGGGAGGGAAGATGCAGGGGCCCACCCTAGAGCCTGTTGGTCTACCGCTCAGCCTGTCCTCCATCCCCACCCTCAAACTAGAGAGAAGCCTTGGTACTCCAGGACATTAGGTTGGGGAAGGAAGGCTGAGAATGATAAACTCTTTCCCTTAGGGGTAAGGTGTGCTATCCCTGCCCTGGCATTCAGGTTACACACAAGACACTTCAGTCAGAGATTTAATGAACTCTCGAAGACATGCGCGACTGTGGTCAGAGATATGGGGGCCCTGCCAGGCTCTCCCTCTGCACCTCAATAGAAACGATGTGGTGTCCCGGTACCATGGCCAGACCCAGCACACGGGGTTCCCCAGCAGAGAAGGAATCTGGAAAGAAGGGTCAGTGAAACAAGTATCAGTGAAACAAGCCAGTATCGATCCCGTCCCTTCTGAGCCACAAAAACCAGCCCCAGAAAACAAGGGGTAAAGCCAGGCCCTGAAGGGGAAATGTCTTGCCACATTCTCAGATGGCTGTGCATCCCCTGGGCACTGACCCGTCGGCTTGAGGAACTCCTGTGCCGAGCCCAGAATGACATTGCAGTCGCGGTCCGTGCAGAGGAAGCAGCCGACTAGTGTCCGCCCATCTGTCATGCGAATACGCATAGTCTTGTTGAGCAGCGCCTCCAGTTGCTGCCGGGCACGCGGAGCTGGAGAATCCTCATGATCCCCGTCCGAGTCCTGCACAGGGCAGGACACACATTCAGACTGCGCGGCCAGGGCTGCCGGACCGGCAGCCGGCGGAACCACAGATCCCGGCAGCCCGCGGGGCACCCACACGAAGCCCAGAGGCTGCCGGGAGCTGCAGTTCCCCCTCGAACCCCCATCTTGGTGCCCGACTGCTCCTCAATCTCCGAGCCCGAGGCCGCGCTAACCCCGGCGCTGGAGCTGCTTTGACGCCGACTGCAACAGCCATTCTCCTCTCGTAGTAACATTGTCGGCCCAGCTCCAGCCATTTGCCCAGGGGCCTCCTCTGGGCGCTTGAACTTCCTGAGAACCTCTCGGGTCGGGTGTTCTGAGATCTCGCGAGCCCTCCCGACTTCTTTTCGAGAGATCAATCCTCCCAGTCTCTTGGGCAATAGTAGAGGTCTCGCGAGCTTCTACTGTGGCACACTGAAGCCTCTTACGCTGGGCGTTTTAAAATATCGCGAGAGGTTTACCTGTAGGGTCTTACACATCCTTTACAAATATTGAAATTTAGGGACAATATCTTCTATCCTGCCCTCCCATGCCTTTTTTTCTATCGTAGGAGAGAATTTCTCCTAGATATCCCATGTATCCTAGGCCCCCGAATTAAAACAGAATGTGTTCGCTTTCCCCCGGAACTAAATACTTACGTGCCCGATGCCGAAATCAGACTACATTTCCCATAAACACGTACAGCGAGTGAGGAGGCTCGCCCAGTATTGAATCTTAGTTGACGGTGGCTGGAAAAGGACAATGGTTTCCATGTCAGCGGGTAAACACACCTGTCTAAGCCTTCAATGGCATGGGAGCAAGTTGTAGTGAGTGCGTGCTGAGGAGAGAGGAAAGCGCTAAGGGACACAGTGTCCAAAAGAGTCAGAGCCATGGCGCGCCGAGGCTTAGTGGCTGGACCAGACTTTGAGTATTTCCGGCGACGCTATTTCACGCCGACGGAGGTGGCCCAACATAACCGGCCTGAAGACCTTTGGGTGTCTTACCTGGGCTGCGTGTACAACCTAACTCCATTGGCACAGGAGTATAAGGGTAAGGGACAAACGTTGGGCCAGGGCTGGGTTGTGTGCGGGAGTAGGGGGTGTGTTTGGTTCATGGGTGGCGGGCATTGACGGCGGCTGCTCGTTCCTAGGGAACCTGCTGCTGAAACCCATCGTAGAAGTTGCAGGCCAGGACATCAGCCACTGGTTTGATCCAAAAACCAGAGATGTGAGTTCTGTTGGAATCTGGATTAGGGGAAGAGCGGGGATGGGGAGGAAAAGTGGAATAGCCGGAACCTTGAAATTGTGACTGCGCAGACAACCCTCATTCCCAAACCCTGTTTTAAAGATCCGCAAGCACATAGATCCGCTAACCGGTTGCCTGAGGTACCGCACCCCACGGGGCCGCTTCGTGCACGTCCCGCCTCAGCTGCCGCGTTCGGACTGGGCTAATGATTTCGGGAAGCCCTGGTGGAAGGGGTCGCAATACGAGGTGGGGCGGTTGTCTGCCAAGACTCGGAACATCCGTATTATTAACACGCTTACGTCGCAGGAGCACATACTGGAGGTGAGATTTGGTGCCTGGGGACAGGTTAGGTGGAGGGAACTGGGAAGCCCGGGATCTCATCAATTTCTCAAAACGGGTAGGGTCTGTATTTTCTTCTTTTACACTGGCCAAGGAAAGTAGGCTACTCAGGTCCCTGGGGTTGGGAATTCTAGGAGTGTCTGGGTCATAGTGGTACAAGAGATTCATGATCATAAGTCCTGGGCAGCATCATCGTGGTGGTGATCCTTAGAAGCTCTTACATGTTCTTTTGTATAGCAGTTAGACTTTTAGTCTACTTTGTTGCAAGGATGAAGTATGTTTATGTGCGTGTGCATGTGTGTGTATGTGTGTGTGTGAATTGTTTTGACCCTTTGTGGGCATCTCTTAGATACTTACCTGCCATAAAGACAGGCATAACTTTGGCACCCTTCATTGCATGCTGGAACCTCAACTTTATTTCTGGAACTATACAGTGCCCAAACTGCTGTGTCAAAGGAGGCATTCTGATCCCAGCTGCCATATATTGGATATCTCCCCTCCACCCCAAGTGTGCATGGGTACATGCGTGCATGCATGTGTCTGTGTGTGTTTTCTGTCCAGAATTCTGGAGGTAGGGTGCTTCTATGTTCTTCAGGTGGGGGCTCTGGAGTCAATGTGGGAAATTCTACATCGCTATCTCTCCTATAATGCACATGCTGCGAGCTACACATGGAAATATGAAGGGAAGAACCTGAACATGAATTGTACCCTGGAAGAAAATGGGATCCGGGATGAGGAGGAAGAGTTTGACTATCTCAATATGGACGGTACACTCCACACACCGGCAGTACTGCTCTACTTCAATGATGACCTCACAGAGCTATAGGAAAGATGTGTGCTCTTGTAGATTGAAGACTTATTTTGAGTTTGCCTTTTTCTGTGCTTCGAGAAAGAGGTTGGGGTGTGGGGTGCCTGGACCTAGACCTCCATTTCCCTCTTGGAACTGGCTTCTGGTTTGTTCCTTTGCCCTTTTAAAGTGCGAGAGTCCTATTACCCAGCTCCTTTATGATTTGCTCTGAGAAAATTAGGGAGAATGGTAGAAGTAAATTAATCTTTAGGAATGACACATGAAGACATAGGATCTTGGATTAGGGAGATGTAAAGGAGGAAAGTCACATGGAGCTAAGGCAGAACTTTTTTTTTTTTTTTAAGGAGGAAAGGTTTATTGTAGCTCAGTTTGTAGAGGTTTGAGTTCATAGTTGGCTGACTCCAAGGCAGTGTGGCATGGCAGACAGGTATCACAGAGGAGAAACAGTTCATGGCAGGCAGAAGGCAGCAAAGCAGTGAAGTAACAAAGGAGCAGCAGCAAGTGATCAGGCAGAACTTTTTTTTTTTTTTTGGTACCAGGGATTGAACTCAGGACCTTGTCTTTGTGAGGCAGGTAGGGGAACCACTGAGCTAAACCCCTGGCCCCAGGCAGAACTTTTAGATAGTGAGAAAAGTCCTACATGGGGATAAAGGAATGGAAGAACATTTTTGCCAGTGATGGAAATGGGAGGGCTGGGGAATATGAGATTTACAAAGACAAGAGTAGGAAATGACTGTCATTGACTATGCAGAATTGGTTTATCTCCCTTCTAAAAGAGAATTGGGCAGCTGAGACACAAGAAAATTAATGTTATCAGGTAACTCAGTGTAGATATTATGCTAAATGGTTTACACATCCTCTTTATTACAACTACCCCATAAGGTGCATACCACTAACACTATTTCACGATGTCTTTTGAACCTTAGAAAGTTTCAGTAGTACAATGGCAATTGGTTAGTAACTAGGATGCAAATCCAAGTCTGTCCAGCTCCAAAGACCACATTTTTTTTCAGTGTAAAGAGACTGTCTCAATGTCTAACCTCATGCTAACATTTGTAACCACTGCTCTCAAAATAAGTATTTGGGATGTAGGTTTGTCTTAGGTGTGTTGCACAGTTGGAAATTATAGGCCTATTGTGTTATCACACACCTATCATGTTGGAGTTAATTAGCATAGTACTCCAAGGGCAAAGAGGAGGCAGGGAAGGCTGAGTGTCAGTCAAGCAATGGCTATTGAGTCTGCTTCTTTGTTAATCCCATAGCAGAATTTCTTTTCTGACCTTTTTTTTGGTACCAGGGATCAAACTCAAGACTTTGTGCTTTCCAGCCAGGTGCACTGCTACTGAGCTACATCCTTGATGCTTTTTTCTGCCTTTTTTTTTTTCCTGCCTTTTTTGAAGCAAAGAGGTATTTATTAACTAAAGTTAAAACTAGAGTGGGGGAAGGGCATGTAAATTGGGACACTTTGATGAGAGAGCAAAAGGAAGCACTTTTTTTTCACCAACAGGCCTTGCCACTTAGAGAAGGTAAAGTAGATGAGTTGATTTTATAAAATAGTGACTCCAAAAGAGGGGCTTGATAGGGGCCATGTAAAGAGAGGAGGTAAGTAAGACAGAAATCCCTCCTAGTGACCAAAAGAGAACCACTAAGGGGGGTCATGGCTAGATTTGATCCCCTTTAACTTAAACAGAGGACAGGAATTGAGAATAACAGACAGATAAACTTCTTGGCAGCAGCAGGGACTTTAGAGTATCTTTTGGTCAGGGACCCTAGGCCCCTTTGCAAGGGAAAGTGGTCCCTGTGAAACACTAGGTGGGCTTGCATGGGAGTTTTCTGAGGGGCTGACTGAGAGGCATGAACTAAGGTGATGATATCCCTATTGACTTCTGCAATCTTTGAATTCATTGAGGCTTAAGGCTTCTGTCTAGCCCCACAGAATGCGGGAACCCATGAATTATCTAAATCAATCACTGTGATGTTTAATCAGTTTTGCAATAATTTCATGTGTATCTTGTTTCTTCAACTAAACCCTAATCTTTTTTTTTTTAAATGGACTCTGTTCACAATTTCGTTTATTTATTTATTTTTGGTACCGGGGATCGAACTCGGGACCTTGCACTTGGGAGGCAGGCGCCGGAACCACTGAGCTAAACCCCCAGCCCTAAACCCTAATCTTTAAGAACCAAAGCTGTGCAGTTCCTCTCATGGCAGCCTCAGGGCCCATGCCTATGGGATGTGTTCATTCTGCCCAAATTTGTCCAGAAACACATCCCTTTCTTCATATACCTAAGTAGAACCTAGGCGTGGTGGCACATGCCTGTAATCCCAGCACTCAGGTGGCTGAGGCAGGAGGATGGCCCTGAGTCTGAGGCCAGCCTGGGCTACATAGTGAGTTCAAGGCCAGCCTGGACTATATAGTGAGATTGTCTCAAAAACAAAAATAAAAACCAAGTAGAGTCTATCTCCTATCTCTGGAATCCATCTTCTTTTCTCAGAGTTGTCATTACTCATTGCCTAGACTGCTGGGGAAATTTCCTAACTCTCCTATTTCCACTTATGCCCTCCATACACTGCAGTCAGATTGAGCTCTGAAAAATCAAAAATCTTACTTCCCTCAACTTTTTCAGTGACTCCCATTTGCTTCTGGAATAAAATTTTAAATTCAAAGACCCTGCATACATCAGGTCCGGTCTACTTTGCATATCTTATAACTGTTCCATTTCCCTATGTCGCCAATACCCTGAGTGGCTCAGACAATACCTATTGTCTTCTTGCTTCAGAATTTTTACAAAGACTGTTTGCTCAGTGCCCCCTTCCTTTCACTTTCCACCTAGCTGATCCTAAATGTTTCTTACTCAGGGAAGACTTTCTGATTTCTCAAGATAGGTTAAGACTTTCTTTTAAGTCTTTATCTCTATGCATTTTTCAGAGTTATTACTTTTGTAAAATTTTGCATGTAATTGGCTGGTTGGCTGCTAGATTGTAAGCTCTTAAGGGCAGAAATCTAGTCCATCTTGTTCTTTGCTATAGTCCCACTGCTGGGCACACAGCTGCTCAATAAATTTTGATTGAACTTGGATGTCAAGGAATTCGTCTGTCTGTAATAACTAGTGGGTGGAATGTTGTGTCTTGGGAGGCAAGATGGACCCAAGAGATAGGCTGTTTGGCTCCTTTGCTGCAGGCTCCATCTACAGGTTTCTCTTTCACTGTTTCCCACAGATCCAAGACTAAAAGTTACTACTCTACGTGAGTTTTCTCGCCAGAGATGTTTCGGAGCAAACGCTGTCATTTCCCCATATGGCCACTAGATGGCTGTAATTGCCTGCAGAGTCAGGGAAAGGAGCCTGGCGGTGGGAAAACCCAAGTTCCAAAGAAGTTAGAATCGAAGACGGCTCTTTGAGATTTATGGGGGGAGGGAAAGATCAGGGGAAGAAAAGAAAAAACTACATGGCCACCATTCTATTAACGTTAGGTTTACTTCTTTTAATTTTTTCCACAAGCACATGTCAGGAAAGGAGTACAGTTTGAGAAGTAACTTGTAGGATGGGACAAATAGGGGTCCTGATTAGAGGTGTGGGTGAGATACAGAGCCAAGGAAGGAATAAAGGCATCAGAACTTTTGCAGTATGTTTAAGATAACAAAGTGCATTAATTTATTACTTATTTATTTTTGCTATGAGGCTTTTTTTGTACTGGGGATCGAACTCAGGACCTTGCACTTTCGAGGCTGGCACAGTGCCACTGAGCTAAATCCCTGGCCCTGCTATGAAGCTTTTTACTTGGAATTGTCTTATTCTCTATCCAAAAGTACATATAATTGCCTGAGGAATATATAAATAATCCCTCAAACTAAAACTTGAAAGTAAACAGAACATAAGTCTAAGGTCCAAGCCCTCTTGCTATCTCTACTGTGTTGGAAAGAGGTGGGATAGAGGATGGAGTATTGAAAGCTGCCTATCCTCAGTAAACCATAGCAACTTCAAAAGACTAAATTGGCAAATATTTACTACAAGCCCTAGTCTGTACATAAGTACATCATCGGGGGTAATAAAGAGGCATATGTTCTTTGAGAAAAGCCTACCCACTCATTGGGATAAAATATATGCACAGAAAAGGTAAATGCAAACAGAACACAATAAAGGACCAAATTACAGTATAGAAACAGTTTCCACCCTCATGGCAAGTCACAGATGGATGTGTGCACACGTGTGTTTGTGTATATGATACTGGGGATTAAATGTAGGGCCTTCTGGATATTAGGTAAGTGCTACCCTGGCACTGAACTACACCCCAGCCCTTTAAAAAAATTTACTCTGAGACAGAGTCTCACCGAGTTGCTGACATTGAATTTGTTATCCTCTTGACTTAGGTCTCTTAAGGAGCTGGGATTACAGGCGTGTGCCACTGTGCCCAGCTACTGGGTGGATTCATGTGTGTGTGTGTGTGTGTGTGTGTGATTTTTTACTGACTGGGGATTAGGGATGGGAAATGTTTCCTTGGGGCACACCCCACCTCTCCCTCCCAGAGAATGTCCATTCTAATCTTCCTGGCGTGCTCTTTGGAGCTTTTTCTTGCCACTGCCCCTCCTGGCAGTGTACTGGGTAGATTCTTACCTGGACATCCTTTTTTTCTGAAACTTTCTAAATATTCTGTATTTGTGTGTGTGAGTACATGCACATGCATGTGTATTACTTGGAGAAAAGTACTATAATTTTCAATCCTCAAAATAGCCAAACTCTCTACCCCTGAAATATTATATGCACATATACACAAATAGCGATATTTTTTTTTTGAAGCAAACCATTTATTGGTATTTTAGATATACATAATGATCACATTCATCATAGGGAATTTGTACCTGTACTTGATATATCTTGCTTCTTTTTCTCCCCTTGGCCCCTCTTCCCCTCATTTACAAAAGGTTTGTTTCCATTTTTTCCTTCTATTCCTTTTTTTGTCCCTTCTTTCCTCCCCCCCCCGTTCCTTTTCTCATTTAAACATTTTCTTATCATTTCCTAATATCTCGTACATTTTGGTCCTTATTTCCACTTTCAGTTTCTTACACCAGAGAAACAATGAAGTATTTAAATGTGTGTCTGATTTATTTTTAAGAGTATGTTTTCAAGGTGCATCCATTTAGCTAAAAATGACTCAAACTTATCCTTCTTTATGGCAGAGTACTGCTCCACTGTATTAAAAAGCCCACATCTTCTTTATCCATTTATCAGTTGATGGGCATTTGAGCTGTTTCCAAAATTTAGTTATTACAAACTGTGCTGCTATAAACATGGGTGTGCATATATTGCTGTGGTATGATGATTTTAATTCTTTCGGGAAGATACCAGGAAGAAGGATAGCTAGGTTGAATGAAACCTCTAGTTTTAGTTTTTTGAGGAATCTACACTGATTTCCACAGTGGTTGCACCAGTCTACACTCCCACCAACAGTGGAGAAAGGTTCCTTTTTCCCCTCACCTTATCAGCATTTGTTAGTGGCCGATTTCTTGATAACAGCCATTCTTTCTAGATCAAGATAGAATCTCAGCATTATTTTAATTTCATGTCTTGAATGACCAGTGATGTTGAACATTTTTTCATATATTTATTTGCCATTCCTACTTCTTCATTTGAGAAGTATCTATTCATTTCAGATGCCCATTTTTAGATTTGGGCTTTAAAATCAGAGGGGTCTGATTTTTTTGAATTCTTTACATATTCTAAATATTAGTTCTTGACCGAGGATTTAGCTCAGTGGTGCTGCCACTTACCCCGCAAGCACAAGGTCCCGAGTTCGATCCCCGGTACCAAAAAAAAAAAAATTATGGTGAATATTAGTTCTTTGTCTGAGGAGCAGTTGGCAAAAAAATTTTCCCACAATGTAGGTTATGTCTTCACTGTACTGGTGGTTTCTTTTGCTGTGCAAAAGCTTTTTTTTTTTTTTTTTTTTGCAAAAGCTTTTTAATGAGATCTCAGTTGTTGATTCTTTTGTGATATTTCCCGTGTAATCAGAGTTTTGTTCATAAAGTCTTTGCCTACACCAATGTCTCCAGGAGTTCTACCTATTCTATCTTCCAGCAGATTTACTGTTTGTTTTAATACTTAGATCTTTGATCCATTTTGATTTGAGTTTAGTGCATGGTGAAAGATATGGGTCTAGTTTTAATCTTCAGCATGTGGAAAACCAGTTTTTCTAGCACCATTTATTAAAGAGGAAATAGGAATATTTTTAAAAGTCTCAAATATCAAAAGTGAAATTATGCCTTTGATGCTTTTGCTACCATGTGGGCACCATGAACTATTCTCCTCTGCAATGCTCCTCTGCCAAGCCACTCTACGTTGAAGCCAGCTGATTATGGACCAAAACCTCCACAAACTGTGAGCCAGCTGATTATGGACTGAAACCTCCACAAACTGAGTTTTTGTTCTTTTTTTTTTGGTACCAGGGATCGAACTCAGGTCCTTGCACTTACGCAGCAGGCGGCGAAACCACTGAGCTAAATCCCCAGCCCCAGCTTTTGTTCTTTAACTTTGAGTTTCAGGTATTTTGTCTCAGCAACTAAATAGTTACTTAGTAACTTAGTTACTAAGAAAAGTAACTAACACAGAATTTGGTACCAGAGAAGTAGAGCTATTTCTGTAACTATACCTGACCGTGTGGTTCATGAGCCTTCAGGACTGGCTTGTGGGAAGAGTTTGGAAAGGTTCAGAGATGCTGGCTGAAAAAGAAGGGCTGGAATATCTTAGGCTGTACTTGATGGGACATTTTGGTCAGAACTCAAAAGACCAGAAGGCTGATAGAAATCCTGCGGGTAAAGACCAGGCTGGTGAGGTTTCTACTGGGAAGGACAGAATTGGCTGTTGGACTCCAGATAATATGTGTTATACCTTGGCAGAAAGTTTGTCTGGATTTTGCTTGTGTCCAGAGACTGGCTAAAACTGAGATTAATCTGGCAGAAGAAATTTCAAGGCAGTCGAATGTTGAGGCAGTGGCATGGCTACTGTTGGAGGCTTTTTGCCAGATCTATGTTGAGAATCAAGAGCAAAGAGCTCATCAGAATGATTTAAAATGTTTTGAGTTTGGCCAGAAAGGAAGCTCCAGTAAATCTGTGGACTGCAAAGACAGAGCAGAGGAGATCTTGATTGCTGAGAAGGAATAAGAAAATAGAACAGATGGCCAGAGGGCATCTCAAGCAGCAGGACTCCACACTTTGTAACCTCTAAATTGCAAGTAAAAGACTTTAGTTTGAGAGGAGAGCCCCAGAACACCATGTTCCAGAATGACAGTGGCCTAGAGAAATTGCTCCTTGGGATTGGGCTCAAGAGTGCTCAGCAGTGCAGGCACTCGACCCCTACAGCCAAAAGAGAAGGAAGCCTGGCTACTGCTCCAGCTGGCAGCAGACCTTGGCATCATCCATGTGGTGCTGGTTTTAGGCACATGCAGAATGCAAGAGTTGTATGGTCAGGAAGGCTTCCACCTAGATTTCCTAAGAAGGCCTGGGGAGCCAGGCAGTCTGCTCCTGAGAGGACAGGGGTTGAAGTTGTTGAGTGTGAAGCTGAAGGTGCAGTGGAGATCCTACAAGTATGGAGAAGCCAGGAATGTGGATTGTCTGAGGAAAACTGCAAGGAGGGAGCACAGCCAGCTGAAAAGAGAAGCCATGGGAACTACAACCACCAGAAGTGCCACAGGGGTGGAGCCACCCAAGCCTTTTGGAATTCACAACTTGCCACAGATTGCCAGGAATGCTGGAAGTGGAACTGTGGGATTTAATATTTGCCCTACCGGATTTTGGATTTGCTTTTGTCCCATTCCTTTGTATCCCCCTGCTTATAACTTTTGGAATGGAAATGTCTATCTTGTGCCATTGAATGTTGGGAGTGTTTACAACTTTCTTTTCATTTGCACAAGGGCTTGCAGCTAAGAATCTGCCTTAAATCTCAGAAGAGACTTTGGACTTGGACTTTTCAGCAATGCTGAAACTGTTAGAACTTTGGCAACTCTTGGAGATGAGCTAAATGCTTAAAGGGATATACACAACTCTTGCTGGGCCAGGGATGAAATATCATGATTTATGTTTGGATGTCTCCCCAAGGCCTCATGCAGTCATGGGTGGGGCTTTATAGAGGTGGCTTTTTTCTAGAGTGTGTGATGCTGGAATTGATTCATGGTGCAATGCTAGGCTCAAGGGATTAAGGATGTGAATACTACCCACCCTAAGTAGTATGGATAGGATAAAAAGTGCAGAAAGATACTGTTAAGGGCCCTTGTTGCTTTTGCTACCTTGTGGGTGCCATGAACTGTTCTCCTATGCAAAGCCACCCTGTCTCAAAGCCAGCTGATTATGGACTGAAATGTCTCTACAAACTGAGTGCTAAATAAACCTTTCCTCCTTTTTTTTTTTTTTCTTTCCTTCTTTTTGGTACCGGATATTGAACTCGGGACCTTTTGCTTGTGAGGCAGGCGCCGGAACCACTGAGCTAAATCCCCGGCCCAAACCTTTCCTCCTTTAAAAAAAAAAAAGTTAAATTATAACGTGGTCCCCAAATTCCTAACACCTGTCTCCATGTCTCATCTGTGTCACACCTATAGTGTTCCCATGGCTCAAATTCCTAAAGCTTTAACCTTTGGGGCTTTGTTAATGACTAGTGTGAAGTGTTTCACTGTTATCCCAAGTTTTATTTTGGTGCCTTGGAGCTGAGTGAGGGGCTCCATCATTTACGCTTGGGACTATAACACCCAATCATGAGATCAAGATCAGGTTAATATATCCATTCCTACAGCTGAGGTTGAGAAAGCACATAGATGTACTGATACTGGGAAAACAGTCATTCTGTGGTGGATCAGCAAGAGCCGAAGGTTTAGTTGTAAGAAAGCATGAAAAATTTGAAACCTGAATGACCTCTACCTTGAAATTCAAAGATTAGGCATTCAAAATACCAACATATGGAGCACAAGTACTGGGTATTCTAGACACATGAAAAACACTAAAACAAAAAAACCCTGATACATGAATACATGAAATGAGACTATTAAAGTTGGGATAGGGTAGGGCCGGGGATTTAGCTCAATGGTTTTGCCGCCTGCTGCACAAGTGCAAGGACCCGAGTTCGATCCCCAGTACCAAAAAACAAACAAACAAAAAAAAGTTGGGATAGGGTAAAGAGTAAGATGAGGAACAAGATAGTATATTGCTGGAATTAAGTCTCTCTCATTGGAAGGAGCTCAGATTCTACCCTTTGAGACCTTCTGTTTAGTGGGGACATGGGCATCCAGCTTCAGTCATCTGATGAGATAATCTCTGGGTCTCAATAGCCATGTAGTACCTAGCATACAATTGCAATAAATAAATACTTGTTGCAGGAATATGGTACACATAACCCCCACTTTGGAACCTATTAAACTCAAGAGTCAAAAGAGATTTAGATAATGTAGTGACCCTTGCTATTTGACCACTGTCACCATTTGAAGAGAATTGAAGAGATCTAGAAAGTGAGTGATATGTGGGGTAATAAATTCTGATTCTTCTATAGAACAGTAAGGAAGATGAAATGTATAGGCTTATCATGAATGATCAGCCTGAAGACACAGATATTACTTCATATTACTCCAGATGGCGAACCTTTTAGAGCGTTCAATGACAACAAAAGCCGGCTTTGGCACACATGTCATAGGTTCACCATCATTGCTCTATAGTATACCATGGTATCTGGCTGCATGCAATGGAAGCCTGGCTGTTGAAGCTTAACTACAAAGGGTTCATGTCATTCAGATAATAAGAGATACTCAATTAGTAAAAGTGACTCCACTAGATCTTCCAAGTTTCAGGTGTCTCCTGTTTTCCCACTTTGTCCTTGTGCTCATCAACTTTTTAGCTGCTCTACTTCTAGCCTAAGGACCTGCATGATTTGGCTCTCCAGGCTCCTCTTTGTCTCCCACATTGGCTTTTCAGTTTCTGAAACTCCTCCAAACTCCTTCCAGTTAGAGCCTTCTCACATGCTGTTTCTCTGATGGAACACTCCACCCTCCACTCATCATTTCCCCAACTCCTGTTAAAGTTGCTCAATCACATGTCACTTTCTCAGTGAGGTTTGCTCTGATCCTTCAAATTATATCAAATCTCTTTTCACACCATCTCAGGATGCTCTGAAACATCTTAACTATAATTAAAATATTTAGTGTAATTCTTAATGTCCATCTTCCTCCCTTAGACTGTAAACTCCATGAGAATGGGGATCATAACTCTTACTTGCCACTAAACAACCAGCACTTAGCCTAGTGCCCAGTGTGGATATTCAATAAATATCCATAGAATGGGCAAATGTAATAAATGCTACAAAATAGATAATGAAATGCCTCAACACAGCAGCAACAGCTAATCCCCTGTGGGGAGACCAGAGAAGACTGAGCCTGAAGGAGTTAGCTCCTTGAAGAGGAGGGAGAGGGTAAGGGGATAGGTGGAGGACAGAATGCTTCCTGCAGAAAATAAGTAGCACAAGCAAATATTAGAGGTGAGAGTGTGGAGAGCTTAAAAGCAGAAGGAAGTGCAGCTTGTTGCTGAGAGGAGGGGGATGTGAGAGGAGAGAGGGAACAGTGGGAAATGTGGAGCCCAGGCCAGGTCCTGGGAGGCTTTGTAAATCAGGTAAGTTTCTGGCTTTAAAAAAAATGATATACAGTAAGTCCCTGATTCACAAACATTTGAGTTGCGAACTTTCATAGATACAAAAAGACCTGGCATTATGAACACGTGTAGATGCAAACAAATTGAAGAAGTAGCTTAAGTGTCTGCCGGACATTGTCACAGTTGTGCTGCTGTGTGTTTACTGTACAATTTAATAGTATACAGTGTACAATTTGATAGTGTACAGTGCTCAATCAGAGCCTAGGATGTCTGGAACCAAGAGGAAAAGCAGTAGTGATGTGGAGAGAACTGCTAGGAAGCGCAAAGCAATATACATTATATATTTATATCAAAGTTACACTATCTAAGACTCACTTTGTCAGATTTATTAACAAATTTGATTTATGAACATTCTCCTGAAATGAACTTGTTCATAAGTCGAGGACTTACTGTATAATTTATATACAAAAATTTCACCCTTTTAAAGTATTTAATTCAAGTGCTTGCACAACTGAGAGAGAGAGAGAGAGAGAGAGAGAGAGAGAGAGAGACAGACAGAGACAGAGAGACAGAGAAGAAAGTAGAAAAGAAAAAGAAAAATTTTTAAAAGCTCAGGGTTAAGAGTTTTATGGGGAGAAGGCCATAGTCAGATTTGCATATTTAAAAAGAGGGAATGGAATGAAAGGGCTATGGGGAGTAGAGACAACATCAGCCTGACTGATGCCACTGCAGCAGTCTGGGAGAGATGAAGACAGCCAGAACTAGGTAAGTGGCAGTGGAGATCAGTTCATCAGCTGAAGTTACTTGGTAATTGGGTAGAGAGCAAAGTTATGGTTTAGATCTGAAATGTCTGCCAGGAGCCTGGGATTTAGCTCAGTGGTGTTGCTCTCTGCCTCGAAAGCGCAAGTTCTGGAGTTTGATCCCTGGTAACAAAAAGAGGCTAAAATGTCTACCAAAAGTCTCATATATTTAGAAGGTGACTGGGTTTTTGCAGGGGCTATCTATACTCATCGGTAGATTAATCTATTGATGGGTTCAGTATCTAAATGCGCTGTTGAGAGAGGTTCAAGTTGGAGGTGGGTCCCTGAGGGTATGACCTGGAAGGGAGTATTCTTGTCCCAGCTCCTTCCTGCTCTCTGCTATTTGGCTACCATGCAATGAGCAGCTGTCCGCTGCCACACTTTTCGGCCATGTCATTTCTGTCTTGGAGCCAGCCAAGTATGGACTGAGACTATGAGCCAAAATAAACCTCTCTTCCTTTAAATTGTGGCTGTCAGGTATTTTGTCCTAGATATGGGAAAATGACTAATACAGGTCTGAGGAAGAGGGAAGAGGCAAAAGTGACACTCAAGTGTCTGGCCTGGCCAGCTAGGAGGATGATGAGCCCAATGATGGAACAGGGAAATGCTGAAAGGGAAAGATGAAATCACCTATATGAGGTAATTTGGGGGCATACAAGTATGCATGATCTTATTTGGTAAATGGGACAGGATAGCTCTGTGTCAGAGTTATAAGTGTCAGAATTATTGGCAGATAGTAAGTCAAGGGTGAGATCAACTTGAGAGTGAAGTGTGATCTAAGCAGAAGGCCTGAGTGGAACAATATCTAAGTGGGGAGGAAGAAAAGGAGACTGAAAGGAGAGCTAGAGAGGTGAGCGAGAACCAGGAAAATGGTGCCGTGGAAGCCAAAGGAAGAGTACTTGAGAGGAGGGGATGGTAAACAGTGTGGAATATTGCACAGAAGTCAAGTATAATGATGATGACTTGAGTTCTATGGATTTAACACAAAACAGGTCAATGGTGGCTTTGTTAGAGAAGGCAGGCTGTAGTTGGACAAGATGTGAGATATAACTGCAAAAGAGAAAAATTCTGGGTCGGGTGTGGTGGCACATGACTATAATCCCAGCAGTTGGGAGGCTGAGGCAGGAGGATCACCATGAGTTTGAGGCCAGCCTGGGCTATATAGTGAGTTCAAGGGCAGCTTGAACTACACAGTGAGACCCTGACTCAAAAAAGTAATAATAAAAAAAATAAAGAAAGAGAGGCATTCTGGCTTTGTAACAATATACTCAATGTCTTCCTTGCTTTAGATTCTCTTTTTCAACCATAAAATAGGGATAACAGAAAGTGACAGGGCAATAGAGACACCTAGGACATGGTCACCCTAACAGAAGCTTCTTATGGTATTGAGAAGATTAAATGAGTTAAGTTATGTGAAAATGCCTTGGAAAAAACACTCAAAACTTCTAGTTTTCTTTCCTATTCCTTGTGTGAATCACTAGTAACAAATGCCTCCCTTGGAAATTCCTGATATTTGTTGTTACTGATATTCAGCATCCAGGTAATATCTGTCTTGGTTAGAAAATTAGACCACATCTGTGACTAACATTTGGTTTCCAAATGAGTAGCATTTATGCTGCCATAAGAATTATCTGAATCCAGGAAAATGAGATTTGTTTCATGTTATGGCAGAGCTGAGCTTAGTTATACAAAATGAGAGAAAGCAAGGAAATGGGGCCAACAATTAGAATCAAGAATAAAGTCAGCCCTTTGCTCCTTCATTTTAAGGTGCTAGTCATAACCCAGGTCATGAATTCTCTCACCTTGTGATCATCTTGTGAATCTTTCTGAAGTGAGAAATGGCTAACAGTAAATTTGTTTAGAACAACAGCTACCAATTATTGAGTGCCTTATTATAGCCAGTACTTTATGTAACTTAACTCATTTAATCCTCACTACAACCCTGTGATGGTTTATAGATGAGGGAGCTGATACTTGAAGGGTAAGCAGCTTGCCAGGGGCCAAAGTTATTAAGTGGCACAGCCTGACTACCTCTGAGTCTAAAGCTCCAAGTCTTCCCCTAATGGACAGAGTGGATAACATCATTATTGGCTCTGGAATATATTTTAGGAGTTACAGAGTTTGGAATATAGAATCTTTAAAAAATTAATTGCTTTAAATTTAAAAATTATGTCTAAGTTAGTCTGAAATTAACATGACTTTCACATACAGAGATATAAAAAGGCCAAGAGAAAGTGGATGGGCAAGAGGAAGCCAGCTGGGGTCAGCACTTACTATGACACATCTATAACCTGAAGGATAGTAATCAGCTGGGAAAGGTATCAGGATAATTCTGCTGAGACAACTGTGGCTCAACAATAGATGGGAAACAAGGTACTGTACTTTTAGCTGGCCAGCCAACAGAAAATTTGAGGTTATCCATTATCCCAAATGCTTGGAACAAGTGTGTGAGATTTTTGTATTTTTTCAAATTTTTGGATATTTGCATACACATAATGAGAGATCTTAGGGATGCAATTCAAGTCTACACACAAAATTCATTCATATTTCATATATACCTTATATTCATAGCCTGAAGGTGATTATATAGATTTTTAGTGTGCCTCAATTTTGATTGTGACTTGTCACATAAAGTCAGGTGTGGAATTTTCTAGTGGGAGCATCATGTCGACGTTCAAAATGTTTTTTATTTTAAAGTATTTCAGATTTCAGATAATCTGATTATTTCAGATAATCTGATTATTTCAGATTAGGGATGCTTAATCTGTATTAAGGAATTGTGACTGGTTATGGTGGCACATGCTTGTAATCTCAGCACTTGAGAGACTGAGGCAGGAGGACTGCAACAAATTTGAGGTCAGTCTAGGCTACATAGTGAGTTCAAAGTCAGCCTGAGCTACTTAGCGAGACCCTGTCTCAAAAAAACAAAAACAAATCATTAAAAGAAAATGTCAAAGGGAAAATATTTGGTTTGCCTTTTTTATAGAACTATTCAATTTCAACATAATGGTCAATCAGTGCAGATATTTTAAAAAGGAAAGAAAAAAAACCTGGCAGAGAGCAAAAACAATGTTAGCTAGGTGTGGTGGTGCATGCCTGTATTCCCAGCACTCAGGAGGCTGAAGCAGGAGGATTGCCATGAGTTTGAGGCTAGCCTGGGCTCCATAGTGGGTTCAAGGCCAGCCTGAACTACATAGTGAGAGCTTGTCTCAAAAAAAAAATTATTTTTAAGCTTAAATCTTTTCTTAATTGGTATCTCTTTCCTCAATGAAGGGCAAGGAAAAGAAGATTTAACTAAAAAGGTAGCAAGAGAAGTATGAGCATACTAGATAAAATCCTTTAATGAAAAGACACTGCAGGATTTGGGTTCTTCATTAATTCCTGAAAGTGCAGAGAACTCTTCCATAGCTCAGAAATAATGATATTTCTAAAAAGATCCTATATTATCACATTAAGCTAAACACATGTAGAAACAAATGCATCATGCCATTTTAAAGCCAACTTGTTTCTCAATTACTGTGTTTTTAATGGTGGCATCCCAATTCCTGAGTCACCACATTATCCAGTTCTCTCCTTTTTTTCAAGTCCACCGTGGTCCATACGTTTGGGTATAAATGCCTGCTTTACCTTGCAATAGCTCTTACCTTGGATAAGATGTTTAATCTCCCTTTACCTCTGTTTTCTGATCTGTAAAATGGAGATTATGTCAGTTTGTACTTTGTAAGGTTACTGGAAGGAATGAATTAGTACATAATAAGTACTTAGGATACTTTCTAGATACAAAGGAAAACTCAAAAATTAAAATAATCATTTTATTATCCATCTTTTACACATATAGTTTGTTTTTATAATTTTTGTACTGGTCTTTTTGTTACTGTTGTTGATTTTTGTAACATCTTTAATTAAGAAAACAAGCACTGGGCTGGGGATTTAGCTCAGTGGCACTGTGCCCCCCTTTCAAGTGCAAGGTCCTGAATACCAAAAAAAAAGAAAGAAAGAAAACAAGTACTAAGCTGGTGTGATAAGGCATGCCTATAGTGCCATGTACTTAGGAGACTGCAGTGCTAGGATTTCTTGAGCTCACCAGTTCAAGACCAGCCTGGGCAACATAGGAAGATTCTGTCTCAAAACAACAACAACAAACACCAGCTTACTTTCTACCCCCTTATCTTCCCTCTGTTCCCTCACTCCTGTCACTTTACAATGTTAGAGTGATCCTAGAGCTAACAACTGGCCCAGCATCTTCCTAATCACAGCACAGACAGGAAGTAGATCTCTGGTGGGCCAGTTCTGCAATGTTCTGCTCACTCTGAAAGCCCAGACTATAGTGCTTCTCTGGCCTTTCCAAAATTCTTTTAAGAGGGCCAGCGATGTAGCTTAGCAACACAGTGCCTGCCTGGCAAGTGCAAGGTCCTGAGTTTGATCCCCTTACCAAAAAAAAACAAAACAGTAATCTACCAAAATTCTTTTAAGTGAGTCTCCTAGATACAATCTCTTTCTACTTATGTCCAAGCTCTGTTAGAACACACAATACTGATCGACTAGTTTGTCATAAATGGTACAAATACTTTCCTGGCTTATCTTTTAACTTTATGACAATTTCTTTCATACTAAAATTTAGTTGTAAACTGGGTGTGGTGGTGAGTGCCTATAATCCCAACACTCAGGAGTCTGAGGCAGGAGGATCACCAAAAATTCGAGGCCAGCCTGGGCTACATAGTGAGCTCGAGGTCAGCCTGAACTACATGGTGAGACCCTGTCTCAAAAAACCAAAAAATAGGGCTGGGGATTTAGCTCAGTGGTTCCGGCACCTGCCTCTCAAGCGCAAGTTTCCAAGTTTGATCCTTGTTCCCAAAAAAACAAACAAAAAACCCCCCAAAAAATAAAAATTAAAAAAGTAGAATTTAGGGCTAGGGATTTAGCTCAGTGGTTCCTGTGCCTGCCTTGCAAACACAAGGTCCCAAGTTCGATCCCCGGTGCCCAAAAAAAAAAAAAAAGAATTTAGTTGAAATCTGTAAGTATTTTCCTTTATGGACATTGTTCGTTGTACTTAGGGCCTTTTTACCCCCAAGATCAGGAAAATACTTATTTTCTCATTCTAGTTCATTTTATTTATTAAAAAAAATTTTTTTTTTGGTACTGGGGATCATACTCAGGATCTCAAACTTGCCAAGGCAGGCACTGTGCCACTGAGCTACATCCCCCACCCTCTAGATCTTTTAAATTTTTGTTTTTAATGTAGCTATTAATCAGATGGTAACTCATTTGAAAGACTACATATTTAACTATTATCTACATATTCAACTATATAGTTAACTACATTGTTAACTAGCATCTATGTTTGTCTTACCTTCTTCCCTCCTGTCCTGTCTTCCCTCCTGTCCTGTCTAAAGCTAATCCCTTCACCTGGGCTCCTGTCTCACTCCTGCCTCCTATCTCTTGAAAGTAGACAAGGCTCCTATTTAAGTATTATAAGGAAGAATTTTGAGAAATTGAGGATAGCTTAAAAAAGTCACTGTGGAGAACCATGACTCACAAAAGAAGCCAACTAGCAAAAAGGCTTTCTGAACAGGGACACTAGTCTGAACCATCACGGTGTTTCCTTTTACAGTACTTTGCACCGGTGGGTATAAACAGTCAAAGTGATCCTCAGCTACAGGTCTGTAGGAAGGAAAATGAGAAGAGGCACACTCGCACTCACTGACACATTGTTGGGAATAATAGACCAAGGACTTTAAGCTGGACAGGAGAAAAGATGAAGAGAATGGGAGCTGATCAGGAGAAATCAGCAGCTAAGGAAATAGACTCTCATGTGCCCAAGAATAGTAGGATGTAAGCAAAAGAGAGTTAGGAGGATAGAAAATTGTGACCATAGTGAGGGGGACTTGAATTTCATATTTCAGAAGAGGTAGGTCCAAAGATAGAGGATGCAAAAGTGAGATTTTAATATACTTTGTTGGTGGTACATGTTATATATATTCTTTTCAACCTATGAAATAGTTCTCAGTAACAAATAAAATTTTTAAATTAAAAGCCTCTATAACCAACATTTTAATGGTTTCTCATAATCTTTAATTGCTTATTTAACTCATTTACCAGCCATGTTTGGTGGCCCAGATAGGAGGATTGCAAATTCAAGCCCAGCCTGGACATTTTAGTGACTTAGTGAAAGCCTGTCTTAAAATAAAAAATAAAAAGGGGTGGGAATGCAGTACAATGCAGAGGCCCTAGGTTCAATCCAGTACTGCAAAACAAACAAAAAACTTATCCACCAAAACTTGTTTTACAGATGACCAGCTAGCTGGGCATGGTGGTACATGCCTATAATTTCAGCACTTTGGGAGGCTGAGGTAAGAGGATTGCAAGTTCAAGTCCTGCCAGGGCAATTAGTGAGACCCTGTCTCAAAATTTAAAAATTTATTTATTTATATTTTCGAGATAGGGCCTCTCTATGTAGTTCAGACTAGCCTTGAACTCACTAGGTAGACCAGGCTGGCCTTGAACTAATTGTGATTCTCCTGCCTCAGTCTTCCAAGTGCTAGGATTACAGGTGTGTACTACCATGCCCAACAAAATAAGAAAAATGCTAATAATGTAGCTCTGTGTGAAAGCTCTGAGTTCAATCCCTAGCATCACATAAAAAATAAAGATGACAAACTGCCTAATAAAATATTTTTCTGGGTTTATACTTTATTTTTTGTCGTTGTTTGATTTTTTTTTTTTTTTTTTTTTTTTTTTTTTTTGGTGCTGGGGATCGAACTCAGGATCTTGTCCTTTTGAGGCAGGTGGCAGAACCACTGAGCTAAATCCCCGGCCCTGTACTTTATTTTTGAATTGAGCTACTCATACACTATAATATCCATTGTTTTGAAATATACAATTCAAGAGGTTTTAGTATATTCACAGAGCTGTGCAACTATCATCATTATCCAGAATTCCAGACATTTTTTCTTTTTTTTTGAGACAGGGTCTATGTTGGCCTTGAATTCACTATGTAGCCCTGGCTGGCCTCAAATTCACGGTCATCCTTCTGCCTCAGCTTCCCAAGTGCTGGGATTACAGGCTTGCACCACCATGCAGCTCTAGAACATTTTCACCCCCCCCCAACCAAAGAAACCCTTTCATACCCATTAGCACTTACTCCCTAATCTTCCCTTCCCTTCACCCTGTTGACCATGAATCTACTTTCTATCTCTATGAATTTACCTATTCTGGACATTTCATATAAAGTGAATCATACAACATATGTCCTTTGTAGCCTGTGTAGCTTTTTTAAACCTAAAATATTTTAAAAATTCATCCATGTTGTAGTATATATCAGCACTTCCTTTTTGTGGCTGAATATTTCATTGTATGGATATACTATATTTTGTTTATTCATTTGTCAGTTGATAGACATTTGGGTTATTGATAGTTTTTGACTGTTATGAATAATGCTCTTATGAAGATTCATGAATAAGTTTATGTATAAACATATGTTTCAGGGCCAGGGATTTAGCTCAGTGGTTCTGCCACCTGCCTGGCAAACGCAAGGTCCGGAGTTTGATCCCCAGTACAAAAAAAAAAAAGTTGCAATTATCTTGGTTATATACCTAGTATTGAAATTCCCGGGTCATATGGTAACTGTATTTAACTTTATGAGGAACTGTCAGTTTGTACTTTTCTTGACTTCCCTGATGCATTTAGCATCAATGATCATGCCTTTTTTCTGAAAGCTGTCTTCCTACTCTACCACGGTAACAATGTCTGCCAAACCTACTACTCCTAGCAAGTCCCTTCTGTTTGGTTTCTCGTCTCCCTGCCTCCATCCTTCAAAGTTCCCCTATGGCTCTGGTCTGCAGTCTGTTTAATATTCTAACAATTCGTACATTTTAAAGAGGTACCAACCTCTACTATAGCCTTCTATCATGAAATCACCATTCCAGCCAGATGAATTGCAGTAGTACCTGCTAAATGCTTTCTTACTTAGCCTAAACTGCTCTTCCTTATCTCTGCTGTATACTTCTAAATCTAGTTATCTTTTGGGGTCAACTTCATGTACAACTACATGTGAAAGTTCTCCACTGACTCCCTCCATGCTCACCCAAGTTCTTTTCTCTGAGTACCAGATTTTATAGCCATAACAATAATCATAATCATATTGATATTAACTTTGTGTGTTTATGTCTGATCTCAAAAAATGTCTCTTCTCCCTCCACCTAGCCAATATCTTGGTGACCAAAATATTTTCAAGTTGCACATGAAAAAAATAAGTTCCTCTTCCCAGTGCCAATTACTAGTTTGTTGTATATTCTTCCAGGAACACCTATGGATATTCACATTTTTTTCTTTCATAACTGGTACCATGTTATTTACGCTCTTTGGTACCTTCCCTTTTTCCCCTCATATTTTAATTGGACTTTTAAGTGAAACCTCATTAATTTTTTGAAAAGTCTAACTATACTACATCCACTGATTATACTTTGCTTATTTTTCTTTTCAAAACTAAAGATTAAACCTGAGAATGGTGACATACACCTATATTCTCAGCTACATGAAAGGCTGAGGCTGAAAGATTCCAAGTTTGAGCCCAGCTTGAACAACTTAGTGAGACCCTCCTTGTCTCAAAATTAAGACAGAGCTGGAGATGTAGTTCAGTGGTAGAGCACATTCTAGCATGCACAAGGCCCTGGTTCAATCCCTAGTAC